CGGCCTTGGGTCTGATGCTGCCATGTCAATGCCACTCTCACCAACGGACATGGCCAAGGGTATGTCGGAGAACAAGTTGGTCGTCTTGCTAAAATCATACCTTTTGGAAAATGCAGCGGTGTCCTCGAGTGGCAAGGACACATTCGTCGATATGTATTCGCGCCTTTTCCAAGCTTCGGTTCGCAGGACATCTCTTTACAACGGACCTGCCTGCTTCACCCTTTGCGACTTGATGGAGGAAGTATTCATTGTGATCGACCAGTTTGAGACACAAGCCAAATCGGACAAACACATCGACTGGGCTTTTTGGTTAGAGGTTTACAAGAAAATGCTGCGTTCTTGGAACACGGTGACTGAGGTTCGCGTATTTTCTTCGGTCTACTCTCTTTGGGATATCCTGGCGAAGAATCCAGCTCGAAAAAGCCTCTTCTGCTTGGATTGGCTACTCACGGAGGAAGTTTTCAGCGCGTTCTTTAACCACTGGTGCCCCATGGTGCGTGCTTACTATCATCGCCTGCTCTGCTGGAGAATATGCCGATGTGTGGGCCAAGCTGATGAGGTTGACACGTAAGTGCCCTGCTTTTCTTCTTCTTCTGGAGATGTGCCTTTAGGTACAGGTGCTGACAGCTTCTTTTCTAGATCAATTTATTTCACAGTTACAAGAAGACTTAAAAAATCATTGGCACACTATCTCTTTTTGAAACAGACTGCAGAGGCCGAAGGCCGTCTTCCTCCATCTTCTGCGCCAATTGTACCGACACCCGGCAAGAGATTTATGATTCTTCGCCAAGAACTAAACCAGCCACAGCCTGGTTTGTTTGTCAACTTTGACAGCTTTGCAAAGGGACCAATTGTCACCGAATCGTCAATGAATGAAAATGTCAGCGCCGTGGATTCTGTTTTGCTCAAGAACGATTCAAAGAAGAAATGGAGTATTTTCGGAAAGGTCTTCTCTATGGGAACCGGGTCCGCAACGTCGAAAACCCAGTCGGGGCCTTTAGAAGACGAATTGACCACTGTTCGTCGCAACACAGCGGAATCGAGGACCAGGCAGCCACTGCCTCCAAAAATCACCATCCCATCACGAACGAGTGATTCAGACTCGACCTGTTCCTCACCATTGATCGATGAGCAAAAATACATCTTCCGATTTATTCTCAGCTTTCAGGGACCTACACCTCCCGCACGAGACCGTGTTTTGGGGTTACCCCGCCTCCCCGCCCCGGCCCAGGCTATTACAGAACCTCGTAGCCGATCTACGAGCCCACACACGCTGACTGCCGAGATAGTACCCGTCTCTAAGTCTGGGAGTGTTTCCTCTAAGCCCAACAGTGTATCTACCTCTGAAACTGATTTCTTGTCCTGCTCCGAGAATGAGAGCGTGTCGTCAGCTGAAGAGAATGGCGAAGCGGCAACGGCTGAAGGCGAGCCGGTGGCCGCGAAGGAGGCCACCTATTTGGCACCCGCGGATAGCGGCCCAGAACCGAAAACCGAACCCACGAAACCAGTGGGATTTTACAAACAAAACGCAATATACAGCGGCAGGGCTTTGGCCGAATGGGCAGTGGTGGTAATGGAGTGCAATAGCTTCGTGCTCCGTCGTCGTGAAGAGGGAATCCCAACACTGAAAGCTGTTGAGATTCCTACGCTAGGTATCGATGGCTTCCGAAGACAGGGCTTCTAGAAGCGGTGCTGGTAAAGAACTGCCAAAACCTTGCTATCACTGTCGATCTTTGGGCTGCCCCGGGAAGATCCCTACTCATTCATTGGGTGTTGACGGGTCTTCAAAAGTTATGGACTGTATATATGTTGTGCTTTCTTCTCAGAACAATCCTTGTGTCTCAAGGAAAACATTGCTTTGGCGTTGGGATAGGGCAGCAGATGCCTGGCGACTTGTTTTCTATTTTCTCGCAATATCGTGAGACTTCTTTTTCTTTCTTTTCACCATCATGGCTACCGGTGCCAGGCATTCATTCATCTTTGCTTCTTCGTCTTATCCAGTTGGTTAACTGGATAACTTCTTTTGGCTTGGCTTCATGCCGGTATTTTCGTTTTTGCCCACTCATCTGGCTGTTTGCATGAGGAAAACATTTTTATGGGAGATTTGCATTGGACGAAGACTACAGAGAGGGATCATTTGTTTCCCCAGGTACATTCATTGTCGTCTAGCTACATTTTCGTGTATATACCATCAAGCCCGCATTTCAGCGCAAGCAATGCGGTCTTTCTCGTTGCGTTCCCAACAGAGCGGTTATGAATAAACGAAACGCTCTCAAGCATGCATCATGTTCCTTATTATCGTGATCCCTGGCCTTGGTGAAGGTTGATTCAGCATTGTTACATGTAGGTAGTTAGCTGCTACGGAGCCCTGTTGGAGGGTGGGATTTAGTGAAGCTACAGGGTGGTAATGGCTAATTTAGCAACCAGCTCCTTGAAGACGGCCGGCCACACGCTATTGGCTGCTTTGGACATCACTGCCACAGGCCGTCATAAGCCACAATCAGTCGTGTTCATATAAGATCGGGTTTCCCCTCGTCACCAACCGCGCGCCTGGCAGCATTGTATTGAAAGAACCTAATCATCTAACATGCCCAACACTGGGAAGCCGAGTAAAGACTGCCATCTCTGTCGTTCGAGACGAGTCAAGGTGAGGGTCGACCCGCTCTGTCCATCCAACATCATGAAGCTTACTCGGACCATCGTCTTGGCAACGAAAGTGTGATTTAGGCCGCCCAGCTTGCCAAAGATGCATAAAGTATGGCGCCGAATGTCCAGGATATCGCAATGAGCAAGAGCTTGTCTTCCACAACTACACCTCCAATTCAGGCGGACCCAAGAAGCGCAAGAAGCGCGCCGCGAAAACAGCCGGCAGCACCCCATCAGTATCATCATCAGAGCCCCCTACTCCGTCGTCCTGGGCCAACTCGGGACCGGCAACGCCGTCACTGGCCTTCTTAGACGAAGACCAAGCCTACCTCTCGCCGGAAGAGGCCCAGCTCATCCTTGCCAACTCCCCTTCCCCTCTATTCCTGACCAAGCCTTTGCATGAGCACTGGACTGCTCAGTCAATCCCCATCCTCCTCAATGTCTATGAGTCTCTGGAGTTCTTAAATAAGATTTATCAAAACTACCCGCAGGACGGGCCCTTGGTCTGGGCTGCTCACCTGTTTTCCCGCACTTATATAACCAACGTCGCTCACCCAACGTCAACACACAAGGATGCGCAGGAAGACACTGAGCAAGAGCTCAGGACCTACATGGGGAAGGCTTTGCGCTCGGTACATGGGGCGCTTCAGGCGCCAGACGGCGCACTGAGGGACGATGTCCTTGCTACCGTATGGATTCTCGCCAACTACGAGGTATAATGCATTGCACTCCCCCCGCTGTTTCCCCTGTTTTCATCCTCATTGCTCGGTTCGCTAACTGTATCATTTCCAACCACAGCTCCTTGCTGGGTCATTGAACAACTCGAAAGTTTTGAGCCCATGGCACCTCCATTCCCGCGGGCTGTGCAGCATCCTCAGGACGAGAGGGTCGAAAATGTTCTTCTCCGAGGCAGGTCGTGTGGCCTTCTGGTCTGCCTATAATATGGTTGTATGTATAAGCCCTCACACCCAACAAGGCAACTGCACTCATGAACTGATGTTGACTCGATCATAGCAAATTGAAGCACTTGTCACAAGCTCTGAATGCCCACCAGAGTCGAGAGAGTGGTTGGGTATCATCAAAACCATGATGGACCAGTCAGAGCACGCCCCTCTGATAGTGTCTTCATACATTGTTGAGATAGCACGCGTACAATGTAGGATGCTCAACATCCTACGTGACCATGACGGCCAGGCAGCTTCAGCAGAGTATTCGACACTCATGAACTGTCTGAGGAAAGCTGAAGCAGAAATCGTGGCCAGCCTCAATATCGGCGAAGCCCCCCATACCATGGAACTGTACTGGGTACAGTTGTGGCGTGCCGCCCAGGTCAAATGCTACCACGTCGCTCATCTTCTAGCCACCTTCTTGACGCACTTCCCGCCGTACCCAGTGTCGCTTGATCAACTGGCAAGGGACAGACGCGAGTGGCTCGAGAAGGTTTGGAGTGCCTCGGGCTCTATCCTAGAAGACACACCCAACTTCCTCGGCGCATTTGGCGGGCACAGAGGGCCGAGACCGCCCAAGGCCCTTTTCGACGCCTTGAAGATGATATGGCCGCTCACCGTCATTTATATCATCCCCTCGTCGACGGAGGAACACAAGGAAGGTGCCCACGCGTGGCTTCTTCTGGTTGGGAGGGAGCTGGGAGTGAGGCAGGCCTTGAAATCGTATCCCGAGCATGCGATGCGTGGCGTGCCAGACGAGGCCCGAGAGCCGTTAAGGATCGAGGAAATCTGAGGGTTGTGGAAACATGGCACACGGTACAGGACGCGGAGCGATGTCTTGCTTTTAAGAGAGATCTGTATAGATGTATTGGCACATTCATCAAGGATCCTTCTACTTTCATAGCCATGAATGGATTTTCTAGCGTAATCGTTTTCTATCTGGGCTTGGTGCCTCCTACATCAAATCGCGAAAGTTCAATTCATAGAGCCGAAAACCTAAGCGGACAACACTATTGTACAGGCAATTGAAAACATCCCTCGACATCTTTGACGTTACCATCTCGGCGTTGTAACCCCTGTCTACCACGCAGTCGCCCTGTGAGATCGCATTACTTCAGAGCATAATAAAGACCAAGAGACTCAGGATAATTGCCGCGCTCATCAGTGAAGGCGTGACCGCAGTGGATGCTGAGTCCGCCGAAGCTGTGCCTGGGTCTACGGGAGCCGTTGCCGAGCTTGTTTGGGAAGTGGCATCATCTGGCACTGTCAGGGTAGGACATGACTTGGACGTGGCTGGACTTCGCGTTTCACACGTGGTCTCTACTATGTAAACAGTTCTCCAGGTTGCTTGTCAGCTGAGGAGGTTCAAGAGATGAAGAGCGTTGAAGGGACTGGAGGGAATGCTGCTTACTTTTGTGTTATCTCTGTGGTTGTATCGGTCACAATGACGGTGGCAGATTCAACCGAGACATCAGGATGTCCGCTTGACACCTTCATGTGGCAAGGTCAGAGCAGGAAGATAGGGAATGAGTGAGAGACGCGTCTTACCGACGTTGGAACCGGGCCGAATTCTGTGCCATAGATGTGAGGCGATGTACTACTATCCTTAATGATGGGATAGTTGGAACCTTGGTTGATCTGTAATGTTGATAAGGTCATGGAGGCAGGTTGTTCATAGGTTCCGGCGAGCATCGTATCTGCCGGTGTGCAACGTTTCCTTGGAATGGATGCAAGGCGTGAGGTTTTCTCGTATCAGATTATAGGGATAGTAATATTTCGAAGGACACTACTAGGATGGCGAGGAGACAGAGAAAGGAAGCTAAAGCATCAGTAGGGCTTTTTTTATATAGGTTTGAGGCAGTGATTGTATGAATCTACAGTATACGGTTTGTTTACGCGCGATATGACTCTAACTTTGCAGACCCTCCAGCAGCTACTCGGACCTCAGGAGGCAGGTTTGCTAAAAGCTTCTTGCCAGCAGCCGCAAACTGGTTAAGCTGGAAGGCACGTAGCATTGAGGAGACCTGCCATGTATCACGAGTTAAACATGGATGGGTTTCACCATTACACCGTGATCCCTCTAGTCAGAAAAGTTCACAGTCTACAGCTCGGGGCCTTGCAACTAGGGGGGGCAGGGCAGGGCAGTTCGCAAGCGGATAATTTCCTCGCCCCGGTCTTATTTGGAAAGCACTGGCTTGTACACGGAACGTTTCATGCGGCCGTACACAGGCGGGATTTTAACACCAGTTCAATATCCAGTTTGTGCAGCATAGCAGAGTTGGGCTCTTGGGCTAGAATCAGGGAGCTAGCACACGAGGGCTGGGCGTAATGAAAGTGCCGAACTCGGGCCCGGTGGCAACTCCCTCTCATCCCATGTGGCAAGTGACGGATGGAAGCATCCTTCCGGTGAGCACAAGCGGCGACGAGGTGAGCACTCAAGACACTCAAGACACCACACCACAAAATGTGTCGATGATGTTTGAATGCTGGGTTGGTTGAGGGGGTGAGCGATGATTGGCTGGCTGAATAGGTGCGAGCATGAATCTGGGGTTGCGGCTTAGGTAATGCTCAGAGAGGTACGTACCTGGTCCATGACGTCAGCGAGACTAGCTCCTTCCTCAGCTTCCAAGGCTCCTTCCAAGGCAATGGTCAGCACTCATCACTGAAGAGCCCTAAAGTGCCCCTTCATTTCATCCACACCGATGGATGGATGGATGAATGGAGGGATGTATATCCCAATCAATTGCCATCCACCACCCTCGGGCAAGGGCACTACGTCTGTCAAACCTTCTCTCCAAGGAGCCCTTGATTGTCCACCCATGACATTCCACAACGGTGTTCTATCTGACCAGCTCTCGTCCCGAGACAATTCCTGCAGCCGGATGCTGGGCCAGGCCGACCACCGCATATATGTATTCAAGCAGCCCAAGCAGTCAATGGGCTGTTCCCTGCTGTCCGCAGCTTCCTAGCTCATCGCTGGAACCAAGGCCATGTTCCTGGATGGTGCCACGATCAGCACCAGCTTACTCCACTAGGTAACAGCCATACCTTAATGGAATACATGATACAATGCTATGCTGGCGATCGTTTCCCTGTGCTATACTCCTGCCCTGATTGGACCCAAAGAGCCGACACCATCAAAACGATCGAAATCGATCGCAGTGTGTTGGACAGACTGACGAGCAGAGAGGTCAGGATGCTGGAGACCCCCCTGCCTTTTGGCGGCGAGAGTTGCAACCGACCTAGTCGCCTAGTTTCTGGTGCTCATTTGTCGGGGATAGGCTGTTATGCGCTGTCAGCTCTTTCCTTGGCCTTGCCTTGACGTACGTGACATTTGCTCCTAGTATTTCCTGAGTTAAGGTGTGTGAAGCGGTGGGTGCTTTCCATATATCCATGCGCCATTACGCATCATCGAGAACGAAGTTGCGCCCGATGACTTACATACCGATCACTCTTAATTTACGCTTTGATTGGTATTCTCTCTGTTGACCCTTCGAGGTGCTCAAGGCTCAGAGCTGGCACAGGCACAAATTTTTGAAGTGTTCTTAGGAGAATCTGATCGTCACGTCGTCTACTATCCTCGCCCTTCAACTGTGCTCTTGCCCTTCTCCCATCTTGTCTTTCTTCTTTCTTTTGGTATTCCTGCATAAAGCCCCCATGCTAAAATCAGTTTTTCTTTCCTCTTTCTGCTCCCCATGTCTCTAGCTGCTGCAAGCCCTGTTCCAGCATCCCCCATTGTCTCTGTGGTTCCACCGCAGCCTGTGAGGGAACCTGGCATGCGCCCGAGACTACTCTCAATTCCGACTTCGGAAAGATTAAGTGACGCTGCTACCATAGAGCCTATTGTAAAGATGATAAGCGGCAAGATCCGGAAAGGCAGAAGATCTATCTTCAAGGAAGTTGGCTTGGATGATGATGAGGATGATGATAGGGATGGCGAGAACCATTCCGGAGATCTGCTGAGGCCAAGCTGCCCCCAGATGAATGAGAAAACATCTGAAGAAGCAGAAAAAGAATTTGGAGAGTTGTCAAATATCCACCCACGCCATCACAATACCGCACCTCAGCCGTCGGCAGCTGCATCTGATGTGTCCCCTTTCAGTCAGGACTCCCGGCCACGTCAGCGCCAGAACTCACTGCCAAACCAGCCTTGGTACACAAGGCTTACAAGACCAAAGGGGAGACCTCGGGTCAAGAGCGTTTCGGGGACGCCGCCTGCCACCATATCCGGCTTTCACCAGTTCACACTGGCAACAATGCTCTTGACCCTGTTCCTCCCTTCATGCCATATCCACGGCTCACGCCCCGGTCTGGAAATCATGGTCACAGACGCCAGCGTATTATCCAAGAGGATGCTCAGTCCGATAGACGTATGTATCAGATGGGCTCACCAGGCTGCCAACGTAAATGGCACACTGTACATTTATGGAGGCGAGGCAAGGGAAGAGGAGGATCAAGAAACAGACACTTGGAACAACAATTTTCTTACGCTTGACCTGAGCTCTGACTGGAGCATCGACTCTCCCGCTCTCGCCGGATTGGAGAAACCAAACGGACCGCCAGCCGTGGCGCTTGGGTATCTTTGGCAAGACTACAACAACCTCTACCTATATGGCGGGCAGTTCTCCGATTCACCATACACGGAACCGGCCCCTGAATCCATTTGGCGATACTCAATCAGCAGCAAATCCTGGGCCGAGCTTCCCAACCCTAAAACATCCGAAGGGAATTACTCCGACAGCGCCGGGGAACCAGTTCATCGGGCATCCGAGGGCGCGGGTGCTTCGGTGCCTGAATTGGGACTGAGCTTCTACTTCGGCGGACACTTGGATTGGGCAACAACTCCTGGATGGTCAAGAGATATAGCGCGCGTCTATCTCAAAAGTCTACTCGAGTTCACTCATCCAGGCTATGCGAATTCGGGCGTCACCGCACTCAGAGGAAAGGGTGCTGGCCAGAGTGGCGCGTTTAGGAACATTACCTCCACGCCCGTTCAGCAGAACAACTTCCCTGAGCGAGCTGATGGTGTTCTCGTGTATGTCCCAGGTTGGGGGGAGCTGGGTGTCCTAATTGGTCTGGCCGGGGGCACTGCCCAGGACTTCACCTATGACCTGAGAAGACTTGACGTTTACGATATTGCCAGCTCTCAGTGGTTCCATCAGGAGACATCCGGGGAGGTACCAAGCGTACGGGTAAATCCATGCGCCACAGTCGCCAGCGCTCCGGATGCTTCCAGCTTCCAGATATATTTGTTTGGTGGGCAGAATCTACAACCTTATGTGAGTACACACTTGTTCGCGTTATGGGCGCCTCTCGACTAATGGTCGCCAGGGAAATCAAACTCAATACAACGACATGTTTATTCTGACCATCCCTTCATTCACATGGATCAAGGTCGAGTCAAGTGACAGCACGCCTGGTCCCCGTGCCGGCCACACCTGTACTATGTGGGATGGACAGGTCGTCGTCGTTGGTGGTTATATTGGCAACGACAAGAAATGCGACTCTCCCGGGATCCATGTGTTCGACGCCTCGAAACTGAAATGGAAGGATAGCTTCGCAGCTGGAGATCACCCCCGAGACTCCCATGCAGGCAACATGGTACTGGCAGCATCCAACGGTTATTCCGTCCCAGATCCAGTTCAGAAAGTCATTGGAGGCAGCGAACAGGGAGGCGCCACAGTCACCACGCCTGCATCGGGCCCTGCTACAGATGGCCCATTTGCAACCGGCAAGCCTCCTGTCTTTACCGTAACCCAGCCCGGAGGTATCACCACTGTCACGCCCACCGGTGGGCCAGGCTCTGGCCAGGATGAGCCGGAGCTAAGTCCCGGTCTCGTTGCCACGAGTGTCATTGCGGGCATCGCGGGCGTCCTGGCTTTTTATCTCGGGTTCTGCGCCTGGCTCTACCGTCGCCAGGTCAGCGTTTACAAGCAACATCTCACGGACGCCAAGCGATACTCGAGCGATCGTGCCGCCACCTCTGGCACTCACGAGGGCCCACACCAAGCATTCGGGGCTGCTCAGAATGAAGGAAACACCAGAGAAGCGAAGAACACATCGACGTGGGAAGATTTTGGCACGGGCCCGGCTTGGCTGTCCGAGCCGAAGTGGGCTTACTCCTCCAGCGACCCGACCCAGGAGACAAGCAGCGGGAGCGGTATCGGGGAGCAATATCACGGCGAGCTCATGGGCAGACGGTCCAGCGAGAGTGGTGAATCAACCGAGGGCTTGCTGGACGGGAGGGAGCCGAGCTTCTTCAGTGTGGTCATGGCACCAAGACGAGCCCTGAGGGTCGTCAACGGAGCAGATTCCTAAACCTCACTGAGATTCTCGAAATTGTTACCTTCACTCGTTCAATTTCTTAATCTGGCCAAAAAAAAGAAAATCACAAGACTAATTAATGATTACCTCATCGGCGTGGGAGTTAGAAGGCCATAATTAATGATCATACGTCCTCAAGAAAATGGCACTTGGAAAGTGGTTTGTAGCTCATTAATGGTAACTGCCCGATGGGATATCGAGCAAAAAGGAAATCCAATGGCCCTTGTAAGATGATACCAAGACAGTATTCTATGTCATGCCAGTTTATCCAATCCGAATATAAAGAAAAAATATAATGCCCGCGCTCCCAAACTCCGCCCATGCTACTGCTCTAATAGATGCTTTCGTAATGGAAACCCGTTGCCGTTAAACTTTCTTCAGATCCTTCTTTTTAACCGTGCCCACAAAGGCGCGGTGGAGGAATTCTATCCAGGCTTTGTTGTGCTTCTTCTTTTTCTTCCCTTTAGCGTTGTCCTTGTCTTTATGCTTCCCTCTCTTTTGCGATTCTACATCGTCGTCCTCTTCTCCTTCGAAATCCAGATTCTCTGCCAAGCCATCTTCCGAGCCTGCAACAGCGTTGCTCTTGCCCTTTGGATTCTTGGCCAATCGGTACGCCAGTCTCAGGTAGCTCATGACGGTCAAGTCTTTGAGCTTATACACCTTATCATCAAAGGTACTGTATTCCACCTCGAATGCGAAATCTTTCGGTTGCGGCACCTTGTGAGTCGGCTCTTTGTCTGAAAAGTCTCCATCGCGCCACTTCTCAGTCGCAAGACCAGAGCGCGCGGATTTATGATTCATATCATTGTTAATGAACGTGAGGTTTGCGAAATATTGCGTATACCCAGTAAGCGTAAGAAGCTGTGGGAAGTATGCAGGTCCAGGAGTAGAACCTTTAGGGGGGTCCGCGGGGACCACGAAGTTAGGATCCTTGGGCTTGTAGGGCTTCTTCTTGTGTTTCTTCTTCTTCTTCTTGCCCTCGGAGTCTATGTCTCTCCTCCGGAGTTCCTGGAAATCGTCATCTGTGTTTTCCACATCCCCGTGTTGTGAATCTGTTCCAGGAGACGCTGGCTTGAAGCTGTCTACCCACAAAGCCTGATCTTCGATTCCCGTAACATTATACTCGAAGACCCGGAGTGTTGGGAAGTAATTGGGGACAATGCTAGGGCTCACCAGGCTTAGCTGATAGCGTTCTGCGTATTTCCCACCAATTTTCTCAAGCTCCTTGTCGCGTTTCTTCTTCTTCTTCCCCGATGAATCAATGTCGGAGTCCGCAACGGCGTCTTCTGTGGTTTCAGCGGCTAGCAGTTTGATAGCAGATCCAGGCAAGTCAGCCCACCCTGCTCTAAGCTCCTGAAGATAGTCCTCCTTGGATTGATTGGTGACGTCATCATACAGCGAGCCTCTGATATCAGCCTGCTCTTCGTTGAGAATGAGATCAAGCTCATCTGTGTCCTGGAGGAGAAAGTGGTCGATGTTCATATGGCCATAAAGAGACCCAGTGACGACGTCCCGGTACTGCTGTAGCCACAGAGTGTACTTTTGCCAGCAGGTTTCGTCCCAATTCTTCTTGGTCTCGGTGCGGGCCGGCGGAACGTGCCCAACCAGCATGGCCTTCATACCTCTCTCTCGCAACAGCTGCAATTGCACACGAAGCCACTCCATATGCTCGAACCCGGGTTCGGAGGGCTCGGCACATCCATCAACGCCAGCATTGCGGTCGAAGAAGTACATGGTATTGAGACTGAAGATTGCAAGATGGTTGGGAATAGCCTCTACCCAGAACCATCCGCCAAACTCGAAGGAGTGATGTTGCTCCTCGGGAATGAAGCGGCCCCATATGTCACTGTACGCGCGCAGCCACTTGTTTGGGCCAGGATAGAAGATATTGTGTGGGAGGAAATCGTTGTTGCCGAAGGTGGGCACGATGGGAATGAGGAGCTGGCCATCGGGGTCCGAAAATGTTTCGACAAACTTGTCAGCAACCTTCCGGTTCGTGGCTAAGACTTCGTTGGTGTTTCGGGGATGCTTCTCGTCGCTGTCGTGGCGGGCGGTATCGCCGGTCCAGATGATGAAATCGATTTCATCCTTGACATTATCTCGAAGCCAGTCAAAGGTAGCGTTGACGAGAGAAAAGGGCGAGTCGCAGTCAGTCGTCTCAGCGCCGTAAGTGCCTGCTGGACCGTCTTTTCGGTGGCAGGCGATGCCCTCTTCTGTAGAAGAATGAACTTCATAAAACGGGTCGGGATGGAAGTCTATAAATGCGATGGCGCAGATGAGTTAACGTGTGCTGGTCAAACTGCGCTGGTTGTGAATATGAAGCCGGCGGGAGCTAGCAGCAGAGAGAGGTGATGGTGTGGTGGCCAAGCGTGGAAGTCAATTGGGACAACCCGGAGGTGAGAGGGTAGCAGATTTCTCATCCTCCACCATCCGACCCTCCATCGCGCTTAAAAGGTTTGTTGATGCAGCGAGGACCTGCAGAAGCAACCTTGAAATGCAGGGTTGATCTGCCAGATGCGCCAACAAACCAACCACATTCCACACCGACGAGGCACCGCATACAGGGCAAGGTGCGTGTAGCAACTTGGGAAATCACGTACCAGTTATGTGCAGGAATTTTCCATGCAGCTTTCGTTGCTGCGCATTCGTGTCTGGTCTGCTGAGTACTTGCTGTAGGCTGTCCTGGATCGGGGAGCCGAGTGCAATGTGACCCCAAGCCAACGCAAGGCCCAGGAACAGGCTATGCGACAGCGGAGCCATGGCTATTGCTGCTCGCGCTCGAGTAGGACGAGGGATGAGCCTCTGATTCTCGCTGTGTCCGTTGGTGTGGCGTAAGTCGTCAAGCGAAGCGGTGCAGGAACTCTACTCGCAGTCCACATTTATTAGATGCATTAGAGCCTTTGGTGGTGTCGTGTGGTCGGGCAAGGAAGGATTCGAGGCAAGCCAGACGATGGTGGAAAGGGGAGAGCCGAGCAGAGTGGGATGAGGGCGGTAGATGTGGTATAAACGGGCGAGAAGAAGGAAGATGTCAACCCAAAGAAGCGTCAGGCAGGGAAAACTGTGTGAGGAACTGAGTAGACCATCCAACCAAGAATTAATTCATCCCAGGGACTGTGCTGTGACGTGGGGAGACCGCCCACCAGCCAAGTGGCAAGCTAGGGGATCAGCCACAGCCTGGCTACCTAACGGTACGGTACAGACCGTACAGGAGGGACGATGATGCGCGCTGCCGTCGCAAGGGTCCAGTCAGATAAACGGCATACCCCTGTGTCCAGTCTAGGCGCATGACAAGGTTGCATGACCCCATACAGTGAAGAGCAAATCCCGGAGGAAAAATTGTTGCAGCGCTGGTTCAGTGGGGTGCTACCTATTGGGTGCCTGTACCTGCCGAATCAAAAATTACAAACGGTAAACCATTGGAACTTAGCCAACGGGCTTGCCGGTAGCCTCAGTACATGCTAAGGCCCTGCGTGGCCCGTAGCAGGGACACAGGCCGGAGGTAACGCTCATCGTTTGTCTCACAAAACTACAATCAAAACATCCAGCATGTATTACACTGCATACCATAGGTACCTACACATGTGCATTACATCAAAGTATTACAAACAGACACTTACAACTGTCACACGCCGCCATCACAAGACAAGCCGTCAAGACCAATGTACGCTGGGGAAACATCCACGTGTGGGAACCAGAGGCCGTTGGTCCAACACCTCCGAAAACTTAGACGGTTGCGCAACCAGCACCTTGATGGTTCGGCGCCACACGGATGAGGACACCGCCCATTCAAGAGGCACTGCGGGATGTAAGTGCTAACCTACGAGTGGGCTCCTGACTCGCCTAACCCCCAATGGAATGACGCTTCCGTGATCCCGTCCGTTCTCTTACCCTAGAGATGTCATCTATCACCTCCTCTGGCTCTTGATGAGTGACAATTTGGCTCATTCATTAATACCAATCTCTTTGTCGAGTATACTTAGGGCATGAGGGTATAACGTGTGAGAAGAGAAGACATGTCAGCTGGAAACCCTCCCATTGTGGATAAGACTCACCTCTCCAAACTTGCAATGACGCCATCTATCCCATTCAGCCTCACGCAAACAGTAACAATACAATATACGCCCGAGGTTTGGTCCAATATCGTCACATACTGCCACAGAACTATCCTCAAGAGTGCCAAGCACCATCATGTTAAAGCTGAGGGATCCAGCATGTTTCGTATTGAATAGGTAACAGACACAGGTATAGGGTATCTCCAGGTATCAGCTAAAGGCGCAGATAAACGCTAACCCTAATTTGGAAGACCCAGAAAGCCCTTTCATCGCAAATTTCCAAATTGCTGCATTTTTCTCCTTTCTTAAAACTCAAGCAACTTCGTGACCCCCATGAATATTCGCCGACCACGTTAGCTCACCGTATATGTGAGGCATCGGGGGCACTGTTGCCAGACCAAACTACCCTGCCGTTCGTTTGAGGGAGACCGTACGTTGAGAGAGTAACATTTCTTGTGACGGTTTCCCATGGTTTTTTCTCGGCTACATCACACTGCTTCTTATTGTATTTTTTTTTTTGGCTGTAAATGAGGGAAATCCCGAGACCAGGCCACGTACATGTGACTACCTACCTAGGTAACATCATCACAAGTGAATTTTTTTATGAGGATCAATAGCTCCGGGCCTCTCACGTTGACTTCGCCGTACTCTGCCCACGGCGTGATGGACTGAAGGAGGGCACTGCGGATGGTGGGCAGGACACTCTTGCTATCCTCAAAGTCGTGGTAATTGCACTCCAAAACCAGTAGTGTCGCTAGGACCGGTGCAACCTGGCTCGGTGAATAAACTGCGGTTTACTAGACAGATAACAAGGTTAGCAGGAATTTGACGACTTCAACTTCAGGAGCAGGTTGAACTCTATCCAATGATATGTGACAGGTGCTGGTTAGAGGGCGCTTCTGCAATTCCAAAAAACTCTTCCCCCCTCGAAGGTTTGCTGCAGGCTGAACCCCAGGCTATTAAGTTTGCCGAGTAAAAATCCTTTGCGGCTTCGGGGAAGGATTGTTTTTGCCATGACCTTGCGGCCCATGATCCTTAGTCGACACCATAATGATTGTGTATAGCTCGTTTCGAGAGAATTTCGACCCCACCAGCGTTAATCCACAAGAAGATAGTTGCACACAGTAGGATTCGGATGAATAAACATACTACTTAAACAATAGTTACACAACAGAAACGGCGGCATCTAGAACCGCGCCGAGGAGTATCCTCGCTCCCGTTGTCCATTACACAAAACAAATCGACATGGCTGATTTTGCAATAAACAGTCTACCGTAACATCTATCCTCACTAAAACAAGACGGCCCGAGCAATGCTCCCCAGATGCTCGAATCGCGTGTGAACCATCCCAAAACAGCATGCCGTTTATGCTCAAGACTCAAAGCTGTACTTGAGCCACCCTCCGAGGGCTCGCAAGCTTTCCCAGCGAACGTTCTCATCCTCGGACTGCATAAGTTCCATCACTCGTCTCTTCAGACCAATCTTCTCTAGCTGGTGTCTCTTTTCAGGGACCTCCTTGACCAAGCAGCCAACATCATTGCAGGCAATGGCCAGAACTTGCTTGTCGTTATCCCAAGGTTGTGACATGATCTCAGCCAGCTTCCGAGGAATCTCCCCATTCTCAAAGTCGAGAATCTTTCGAGCATTCTCTGCCCAGAAAACGGTGTTGCGATGCGGTGGAGACCAGCGCAGATGACCAGATTGAACTTCAGCGACATATTCGTCAAAAGTCGTCTTTGTCTTTGTGTATTCCTCCAACATCTCCTTCAAAGCCTCCAAATCTTCCAAGAGATCCGGGTCTGTCAGATGACGGCTGCCCAAATTCTCCAGCACACCGGGAAGGCGGGCAAGCACGGCCGTGGGAAGCAGGGATCTTTGGTTCTTCTCTAAGAGGTTGTAAAATGTGGACAGGATGAGACGAGTGGTCTTTTCCTTTGGAGATAGTCGCAGAAGCTGCGTGTAAAGGAGGATGACGTCGTACTCGCTGGCGAAAGTCAGTGATGTGGTATAGTAAAGTGATTCCTCAAGAGCTTACTTGTTAAGTTCATCGCCAATCTCTTCCGACTCGAAACTTATTTGCCAAATGACGAGCAGAACATGATAGAGCAGCTGAAGCCCAACTCCACCACCAATCTGGCCCTCGCTACGAACGGTGGTATTGCCGCTCCATAAACTGGCAGATGAGTTGCTGCCGTGTTCAACACCAACTGCGTTGTGCAGAATCTTGATCAAAGGCTGAATGGTTTCGCTACGCTGGTTCCAGAATTGTTCTCTGGAGATGTGTCCGAAGAGCAGGGTCGAATATTCTTGAACAGCAATATCCTGTAGGCCAGCATCGCTACTCTTAACAAGGCCCGAAAGATAGCTGAATATCAAAGGCAGCGCTTGCTCGGTGTATGAAGACTCGTCGCGGGCAGTGGCCATGAGTGTGGTTAGAGCATGGGCAGCGAGTAGAGGAATTGGGTCTTCCGCAGTAGTGGACTTCAGAAGAGGAATAATGTGTCGGTATGGATCAATGTTTACGAAGAGGGCTTTGGCGAGAGAGGGGACGTCTAGGCTCATGACATAGGTTAGTATATTGAGCTTGATGTACTGTGGGATCGCCAGCTAGCGACGTAGCTTCTGAAGAAGCTGGGTAGCCCGCCAAAGTCATTCCTTCCTAAGATGCTTTGGAAAAAACATCGTTGGTTATGGGTACTGACCATTGAGCAAGTCCGAGAGCAGCACAAGAATGTACTGGACTACGTTGGCGTGTTGAGATGCGGACTCTAGTACGCTTGGCTTCCCAGATGCGCCAACAAAGAGCAGCCTGTAGCCATCGAAGTCTGACTCAACAATTTCCTTCCTCTGTTCTGGCTTCTTGGCCTTGTCGACGGCGCGGATCTTGGTATATTGCTCCTCCGTCAACGTGCCCGCTCGTACGGCGCCATCCCACGGAATCGGTCGCTGGCGAATGTTACTCTGTAACGAGACCAAGTAGGTTTGGGTGTCGAGCGACATCGTGGCAGTTGACGGTCGCGACTGCAGGCGATCGAATACAGAAACGGGAGGATGGAGTTGTTCGTTCGCCGATGGAGGGGATGGGGAGGTGTTGCCAACCAAAGCCTACGCCGTTGCTTGATGATGTAGTGTCGCAGCTCCCTCTTGATTACCTTGGAGAGGCTGAAGCTTGCATGCGCCACAGAGAGGTGGTTGTTCCAGCCACATATCTGGGTCAGTTGTGCCGATGTTTTACCTCCATCTACAAGCCGGGATCTGCCACCAACCTCCCTGGTTTTCCTTCACAGGATCCCACATGAAAGATCGGGACCTAGGGGCTGCCGCTGATTAACAGGGGAAGGATTCTGGCATGTGGGCAAATCCTTCCTCCAACCCGCCGCTCTCGCCATTCCGTCCCTCATGGTTCGTTCATGGTTCATTCGTGGTGTGCATAACGGAGTCCTCGGAAAGCGGACGGTCGCCTTATCGATAATTACCCGTGGTGCACTTTTTGTGGGACAAAGTATAGGTACTTATGAAGTGGTATTTTAATATGGTATGTTGTAAGCGTGCATGTATACAGTACCTCTCATGCAGGTGCGTTGGCACTTCCCCACCCGGAGAGCTCGTTGTCGATGTCATTGAACCAGACAATGGAAGTCAAATTGCAAGACATTGTGTATCGCCGCTGTGCCTGAATTGACACGGAGCCTGATTTGCGAGGAGGGTTTTCGAGAAAATAATCTAATCTTACAAAGTACGTTTCAGGATCGTTGCCCATGTTCTGGTGCCTTCCCGTTTCGCCTAACAAAAGTTTGCATCACGGCCACCAGGGATGAAATCAAGAGGCTGGTGACAAGGTGGTTGGGAGCACGCCGTCCACCACCCACCTCATAAAGAATGCAGTGCAGCACCTGCGGCACCAGTCCTTTTCTCTCTCATACAAAGTTTCTTCCTACATGAATTAGTTTTTGTCTTTAACGACGCTCAAGACATTTCGAGACTTGGATCCCGCATACTCTAAGCCTGCTCTCCATTCCATCAGACGGAAGGCAGCAACAGCGGACCCTGAGCTCGTATCGGGTACCCATCACCACTCTCTCACCGCGGTGTGTAAGAGAAGGCCGGAGCGATTTTCCGCCTGCCACACACTTTGGTCGCACTTTTTTGTTCGACATTTTTGTCGACCCAAACCGACCAAGACACATTCTTGATCGGATCTCAATCACAATGCGCTTACTGCAGTCTTCCCGAAGGCAGCAGCAATTGCTGCTGCTTCTCTCCGCCTCCGCCAGCTTAGTCTCCGCTTCACCGGTTAAGCGAGACTGGGTGCCTCAGTACACGACAACATGGACTCAGACCTACACCAGCACTGTTATGACCTGGTACCAACCTGCGCCAGAGCCGACAGCTGGTGTTGATTGTGTTCCCGTAGACACTTTGCAGGAGGCGTGCGGCTCGATTTGCTGTGCAGGATGGCAGACTTGCGCCTTCAGAGGCCAATGTTCAGCGAAGCCCGGATATGACGAGCCTTCCACCATAGTCATCACCACCGGTGGTCGTACCACCACTCAATATTCCGCTCCTTACCGAGTCACTGGCACAACTGTTATCACCAGCAGTGGAGTCAGGTCTACGGCCACTGGAACCACTGCGACCAGCACAGCAACCGAGACGGGCGACCCCGATGCAATTGGAGCTGGAGGTGGTGGAGGTGGCGGGCTCAGCGGAGGTGCAATCGCTGGTATTGTCATAGGCGCAATCGCCGGTGCCATCCTTCTCTTGCTTCTGGCCTTCTGCTGCATTGCTCGCGGACTATGGGCACTGCTTTGCGGTGGTGGGAAGAAGAAGACCCGTGAAGAGTACACTGAGGAACGCTACTCCCGCCATGGCAGCCGACCGCCTTCCGCATACTCACGACGAGAGCGTCACTCGGGCTGGTTTGGCGGCGGTGGAGGCGGCGCAGCCGGTGCAGGTTCTGCAGCTGGCACTGAGAAGAAGAAGTCGGGCGGCACCAAGAGATGGCTTGGCCTTGCCGGCCTGGCTGCCACTCTCCTCGCTCTTTTGAACTTGAAGAAGGAGAAGAAGCCTGCGACAAAGTCGTCCCGCTCCCGCTACAGCGAATCCTACTATTCTTATTCGGCTACTAGTCCTAGTGAGTTTGCGTACGCCGATGATTAATTTATTTGCAAATGAGACTAACTCCGTTAGCAGGTAGTTCGAGCTCTGGTAGGAGATCCCAGTACACCCGCCGTACTGGAGATAGCCGCCGGCCCCGGTCGTATACCAACACCAAGACCTCGAGAAGATCGAGGTCGTAGTATTCGACTGCTCACTAATGTCTATAAGTGGGCTCAACTGCACATTTTGTACACATTCTATAAACAAACAAACGTGAGAGCAATGGTTGGTTGAGAACATCGGTTTATGACACAAGTATTTGTCACTGAAACTCATCCCAACCAGCTGCATGCACATATTCCCTTTTCAAGTTGCTTTTTACCTGGCAGGCGTTATTTGGTATCTCAACGAGGACAGAACCGGTTATTTTGCATTTACATGACGATTTTCAAGAGCTGAAAGAGGACATGACAGATGACGACATCTGACGAGAGAAAGTATATATATTGACGAGATTATATGAGTGAAGAGAAATTTATGCTCTTTCGCTTGGTCGAGCTTTGCTTGGTTTTGGTTTTCTCTTGAATTATTTCTTTGGTTTCGAGTGCGATAGATTCAAAACAGAGAGAGAGAGCCCTGGCTTTAAGTTTAATACACACAAATACCATGATTTTCATTCGTGCCTCAATGCATCGTGAACAGGAACTGATGAAAATTAAGTTGCCAATAGTGCCCTTTGATATGCGCACATTTTACACTTTCTTTTTTTTGAATATCTCTCGCTTTTGGCAGGTCTCATCCCGGCCAACTGATCAAACAGTTCACTAGGGCTACCTTCTGTGCGAGGCGTTTGGACACGAGACACTAACAATAGTATGGTCAAAAGGACTGTCTCTTTGCTTTTAAATTCGTATAGTAGCTACCGTGCTACCTGACATGCATTGATGACCCTTCGCCACTCCTGAGACCCAGAAACGCAAAAGAAACAAACACCATATGTCCCGTGTCTATTCCTCAACGACGTTGCCCTTCTCGGAAACGTACAGACCGTCCAAGAACTGTAATCATTGTTAGAAAATGAAATCAGCGCATCAGGGCAGGAGTGAGAGAGATTCCCTACCTTTCGGATATCCTTGTTTCGCACCCTGCAGATCTGCTGGATATCGGCAGCGCTCTGAGAGACAGCCTCGAGGGAGTTACCGCTCAGGACGAGCTCATCCTTCTGGGAAGCGGAGATGGCGACCTCAACACCGGCCTGCATGATGACCTTTCGCAGGACCTTCTCGCCGACGAAGTTTCGGATCTCAACCTCAACCTGACCAGTCTCGGAGTTCTTCTCGAGGTTGACGTTGATGGGAAAATGGGCGTAGACGTAACGCATCTTGTACTTGAATCCCTTTGTTACGCCGACGATCAGGTTGTTGATGAGGGAGCGGACGGTGCGGAGAGTGGCGACATTCTTGCGGTTGCCGTGGTGGATCTCGATAGAGATGGTGTTCTTCTTGGGCTGACCGAAGTTGACAGCCAAGTGGGAGAGGTCCTTGACGAGCTTTCCTGTAATTCCCATCATGTCAGACGCCTGGTTGCTACTAAGTCGGGTGAATCGAAAATGGTGCGCTTCATACCTCGGGGGCCCTCGACGGTGACGATTCTCGTCTTGATGCTGAGCTTGACTGTAGGGAATGGTTAGCAGGCCGATTGCTTGTCAATTGGTTCTTCCTTCACAATTCGATGTGTCCTTGCTCCAGACGGCCTGTCGCCAGAAGTGCATGCCGCCTCGCCAGCGAGGGCACAGTCGAATTGTTCGAAAAAAATGCAGGAGTGCCACGTACCACCCTCCGGGATGTCGAGGAGCTCCTGAGAATGAATGTATCTCATCCTGCCGGTTGTGAGGTATGCTGTCGTTAGGTTGAGGGTATCTTGGGTCGTCGGTCCGCGATCTCGAATTCTTTGGCGAATTTCGTGTGGGCAGAAAAGTTCTAGGGCTGGTGCACGTGAGGGTTGGAGGGGGACATCGATAGGACCGAGCCGGAGTTAGGCCGACTCATTTTCCAGAGGGAATTTCGGCAGGTGATTCACGTGACTCGGTCCGTCGTGCCCGGCCCTCACGGCCCATATTTTGTCTGCAGCTACCTTAGCTTCAACTGTGGGTTGGCATCATCCGTGTCTGTATCGATACGGCTCCAGGACTTGCATTGATCACTCCCATTGCTCGCGTCCACTGCTGGCTGGACTCTAATGATGCATTGCGGCTCATGCAGCTCATACCCTCTCGATGACCACTTTGCCTAGCCATTTATGCCTCTAGCCATTGCCAATTCCACTCGATTTCGTGAATGAGACTGCTCCCACTCCCAGTGCTGTGAATGTAGTGAGTACTTCCCTACACGTGGGGAGCTTATCAGCAAAGCCCGGCGCGCAGGTACCTCCAGGCTTGCCTGTACTGCCTGCCACCTTCCAGGCAGTAGCGGGTAGTACCACCACGGGGGTAACGTCAGTGTCCTCACCTATCGCAACCACCAGCTTAGTAGCTGTATCCGCGCAATCACTTACCGGTTGCTTAATCCCCCAACGAAAGGCTCTCTGCAGCCAATTGCGCATTCCCGTAGCTACTCGGAGCGACTGCATTGGATCACACAACGACCGCCCAAGATGTCTTACTTTTTCTCAACGCCCGTCGACATCGACATCGTGCTTGAAGACACTGATGATCGGTCCATGGTCGATGTCAAGCTCGACAAGAACCGTCGCGAGAAGGCACCTCTTTTTATGGATGGAGAGTCCGTCAAGGGCGCTGTTACTGTTCGTCCGAAGGATGGCAAGCGACTCGAGCACACTGGTATCAAGGTCCAGTTCATCGGCACGATAGGTATGGATGAGCCCCTCGAGCGATATGGCCGAATGCACCATCACGGCCCAGACGCGCACCCGTGGGGGCCCCTTGGAGCTGCAAGGACCAACTGGCTGATCGATTCTTGGCTATAGAGATGTTCTTCGACCGCGGAAACCACTATGAGTTCCTTTCCCTCAACCAGGAGCTTGCCGCTCCCGGTGAGCTCCAGCACCCCCAGACCTTCGACTTCAACTTCAAGAACGTCGAGAAGCAGTACGAGTCTTATAACGGAATTAATGTCAAGCTGCGATACTTTGTCCGCGTCACCGTATCGCGCCGCATGGCCGACGTCATCCGTGAGAAGGACATCTGGGTCTATAGCTACCGCATCCCCCCCGAGGTAAACAGCAGCATCAAGATGGACGTCGGTATCGAGGACTGTCTGCACATCGAATTCGAATACAGCAAGTCAAAGTATCATCTAAAGGATGTTATTGTCGGGCGAATCTACTTCCTCCTCGTGCGCCTCAAGATCAAGCATATGGAGCTCTCAATCATCCGTCGCGAAACCACTGGGGCCGCGCCTAATCAGTACAACGAGAGTGAGACCCTGGTGCGGTTTGAAATCATGGACGGATCGCCATCCAGGGGCGAGACTATCCCGATTCGCCTCTTCCTGGGTGGTTTCGATCTCACCCCCACGTTCCGGGATGTAAACAAGAAGTTCTCAACCCGATATTACCTCAGTCTTGTACTCATCGACGAAGGTTAGTGACGCTACCACCCTCAATCGGTCTATTTAATAACTGACAACACCTAGATGCCCGACGATACTTCAAGCAGTCGGAAATTATTCTCTACAGGCAAGCCCCAGACGCAGCCCCGGTCCTGGGCCAAGGAACCCAATCCCTACCGCCATCAGAGAATAAGTTGGCGGCCATGCAGGCATAGAGACTTGATGTGTATTGTGGCGGTAATCTGTAGTGTCTGATAAGCCTTGTCTGCAACATATCTTGCCTGTTTGTTTCTTCTTTTAGCATAAACCTCGGCGTTTTCGGAATTCAAGAATTGGGAAAGAAGTTTCTTTGTTAAGGGAGTCGACGTTACAATAGACACCCTAGAAAGCTCTTCAATTATGATCCCTATGACACCAGTACCCCTTTTTTTTCAATAGAAGATCTAAATGGCCAACGTAAGTGGCCGGCTAAAAAAAGAAAACATTAACAGAATATGAGACAGACTCCTGAAGCAAAAGGTCGCAGTGATGGCGGGCCTTTTGGCCCCTTTATTCAATACATGATCCGTTCCTCCTCTCTAGCCCCATCCACCGTGCCTCCTCACGAGAGGTCCATCACATCGTCAGCCTTGAATCCAAACTGGTTGTTCTGGATGGCGGTGATCCTATCCAACTCAGCCTGGTATTGCTTCCGTATATCCGCCAACGACACTACTTTTCTCTTCGCCTCCCTGTCTCCCTTGGCCTCTGAGCCTGGGACACCTTCATCGTAAATCCACGCCTGTTTCGTGTCGACGCAGCTCAGAGCATTGATAAGTAGGATGTACTGCCTCGTGACTGGTGTATCAAGGACGTCGTCGCCATCAATCTTATCCCCTTCACCAGCCAGCCGGAGTTTCTGGATTCGGTCCAGAAGAATCGAGGCAGCACCTCTGAAATTGCCGTGCCTGATCCTCCAGGAGTAGAGAATCTGGTGATATGGAAAGCCGTTAATCACATCCATAGTCGCCTTGCATTTCTGAGCTAGAATCTCATCGACATCACGCTGCATCCCTGGGAATGGAAGCTTGATCAGGTCATTATTGTGGTTGGTCTCGCACATCTTGGAAACCAATTTGCGCAAGCTGGAGTGCTTCAATGCATCGTCCTTGAGCGAGGTAAGGGTCATGTGTGCTAGTTGGAACTGAGCAGTGGCCACGGCTGCGTTAAAAAGGCGGCTAAGCATGTCAGTCTTAAGAAGGTTATCATTGCTCGAGTTGGAGTCGAAGAACTGAATCGACAGCCTGGCAAATTCAACAACATAAGAGTACGCCTTGTATTTCTCATACAAGGCGACGAGGTGGGAGTAGTATTTAGCAAGGCCATGGTTGATGAGGCTCCACTCTGTCGAGTCCAGCAGCCCGCTGCTCAGGTAGCGATCTATCTTGGTATCTGTCGAGCCTGCAAGTTGAACGTGATTAGTAAATTTTCCCCTTATTAAGTAAACCACCAGACAAAACATACCCATTCCTATAGCGGCTTTTCTGAAGTGAATAGAAGCGGAGCTGAAATCCTGAAGAGCTAGAAATACGCGACCTTGCACATAGATAGAGAAGGGAGACTGCTCAGCAAATGGTGCCAAATCCAGTGCCAAGTCTGCCCTCCCATTCTTTAGCAGGTAGCATTGGACTGTCGAAGGGCTGATTTCAATATCACTATCGGGCGCACATAGATTGGAAACAAGCTCTGTGATGCTGGTTGCGATTGGCTCGTTCATGGAACCAAAGCCGAGAAGGTGCCCAAGATTGATTTCCAAAGCAGTCGAGGCCCGCCCGTCCTCGGCCCCCTTTTTCGATAGCTCTGTTTTCGCAAGCCATCGCAGGAACTCTACTCTGCGTAAAACCTCGACAAATTTTCTGTAAGCCGTGCCAATATCGACTCTGTTGTGGAGAGCTTGATCATCGGTATCAAATTCGAATTCCATGTGCACAAGCAGGATAAGCTGGGTGAAGCAAATTTTCCAGTACAGCTCGATACTGTCCTGTGTAGCTTTGGAAACCAACTTCCGTCCGAACTCACTAAGCGGATGGGAGAGTTCTCGCCTTTTAGCATTCTCTGGTGCAGCAACCAAACCGAATATTTTGCCATACAGCTCGTCTGTGACGGTCGAAAAATTTTGGCCCAAAGAGTCGACGATTTGAGAGCAGTCCTCGTCGGTGATTCCTCGCCAAAAGCCAGCTTTGTCAGAAAAGTATTGAATACGCTCCATATCCGTCTTCTGAGATTCCTCGAAAATTTCGGAACGGAGAACCGCATTGCTAGTTTGAACGAAATTATCAGAGAAACCGTCGACAAATGAGAGGCCGGAGCTAACCAGGGCAGCTTCCTGTGCCTGGTCTTCTTCTGGGAATGATAAGTTGTAGTATAATCGTTCAATATCACTGCAGTCCCGAATAGCACCAAGTAGGTCCGCACAAACAACCCAGGCCATGTCCGTTTCAGGGTCAAAGGTAAGACCCATTGCCTCCCCTCTTTGTTTGTCCAATTCGACAAGTAGACGGTAAAATCTCCGCCATTGAATTTCACTCGATGATCGAAATTGATCATAATCCATAGCGCCAGTCGCTCCCCGCTCCAAGGAGGCCGTCGAACCTAAGACAGAGCAAATGGACTCTGCAAGCCCACGAGCGCGGCTGGCATCTCTAGCGACTCCTAAGCCCTGCTCATAAATAGATAGTGCGGTATTCAGCGTCGATTTTGTAAACCGACCGGGTTGAAGAATCAGCTGCAGCCATTTCTCCGTCACGTCGGTCGAGTCAATCGGTCCCGAGGCCTGTGGTGTTGTGATACGGGTATCGATGTAAACCATTTCCCAGCTTTCTTCCCAGCATTGAGCCATGTTTTCTCTGTCCAGGTCGAGCTTTTGAACCTTGTACGTCATGTTGTTCTTCCACAGTGTCCAGATACTGATAGAATCCTTCTGTGGGTTTGCAAGGACGAAGTCTGCCAAGGTCCAGACATCCGACGAGGATGGTGTAATCGGAACTAATGATATCGTCGGGAACAGATCCTCAACTGTAACGGCATGGGTGCCCTTGGCTCTTATCATCCAGAATTTGAATTCTCCAGCACCAACAGGCGAATAGGTTGCGCAGATCCGCGAGCCTCGGCTATGTCCAACGATTTGAACAAGATTCGATTGCGAAGGCTCGATGGACCATTTGCCAACTTCCTGCGGCGCTCGCTCAATGCCCAAGATATCGCTGGTGTGAAGAATCTGTCCGTCATCGAGATCCCAAATGCGCATGCGATGATCTAAACAAACAGTTACAGCAAAAAGGCACTCATCTACACCAAGCGAGGTGACTTGAACCGATGCTGCAGCACTGTATTCCATGTTCATCTTCCCATGCTTCACAGTATGCTTGCCCTGAAAGGGTAGTAAGCTTCGCAGATTCTGAGTCCATCCTTGTACGTTGAAAAACGTTTCTTTCCACATCGTATTCGAACCTGCAGCTCGCGATCAGTAAAATAGTTGCCAATTGTGCCCACGTAACCACAGACACTTACCGTCGCTATGGGGGTTTCGGTCGAATCGAATCATTCCACCATCGTTGACAGTAACCAAGAGGCAATCAGCCGACACTGCAACCATCCTGTAGGGATGTTTGAACGATAGGCCGGCTGGGACATGGCGCTTCGCAACATCCGATAACCCTGCATCTATGGCCGACCTCTTCCTAAACAAATCCGGCCGCAGCGTAAATGTCCAAAGCTGGTATGACTGATCGAGAACGAAGAAACACAGCGCATCGTGCTCTTGAGGATCGGAGAAAGCCACGCAGTTAGGCTGGATCGGTGTCGCGAAGTGGAAATTTAAAACTAGCAGCGCGTCCTCTTTGTTCTGGCAAACATCCACCGCTCGAACACTTAGAATCTTGCCCCCTTCTAAAACCCGCCAGAGGAAGCTGCGCGGGGAGGTATGGAATTGGCGATGATAGATTGACGATGAGCTGGCGAGATTCTTCGATCGAAATGTCGTCTCGTCTTCAGGTGACAATTCGTTTGCTTTTCGCTGTCCACGGTCGCTGCCAGGGAGTCGCACCGTCACCACAGAAGAAGAGGGAGGCTCGAGGTTCAAGCGGGTCTCTTTGAAGAGATACTGCATTTCGCCTGAATCCATCTCGCCTCCATGCAGTGAAGAAATCAGGAAACGATGCGCGAGAGTGGGTGGTGTTGTCCTTGTCTGGAGGTTCGCGGCCGTGTTTATTGGGTTGGTAGAATTTCTGAACGGCTTTGTTCCACTCGCGACGCTTATGCACTAACCGAATGTGGAAACAAGCTTAAGCATCATGCAAGGCAACAAAAATATGGCCTGTAAAAGAACAAGGCCAATGCAATGTTACGAATTGAAAAATAAGGGAGATGGAAAATTTAATACTGGTTTAAAAGATCTACTTGTGAAATATTTTACTTGCCATCTTCCAGGCCCCGTGGTAATGTACATGTGAATTAGGTAGGTAACTTGTAAGCAAAAGCCCAAAATCTAAAAACTGGCCATGCCTCCGAAAGGACAGAAAAATAAACGCCGATAGCTATGCGCTTCCTAATTGGTTCCTGGTGTCATAAATGGTCTTGGTCGCTTCATATCTAATCTTTATCCGTATCCTTTGGTTCTGGATCCGTGATGCCACTCTCACTGATGGCAAAGAGCGTATCAGCCTCGGGAAGACATGGGCTGTCGTAGATCTTGGCGATACGGGTTTCTCCACGGCCCTTCTTCAAGCTGATCCTGGTGGTACTGGCGTGGGCAATAATGTTACCACCAATAGGCTTCTTGGGATCGGGGTTAAACATAGCACTTGGGCCACCATCAACCTGTGCCACGACTTGGTTGGTGATAACGACGGCAATGCCAAATTCATCAGCCAGGCGTTGAAGAGTCCTCATGAACTTTGCAAGATGTGTCTGGCGGTTGGACAATTCTCCACGGCCGCAGAAGTCCGTACGATAGAGAGCGGTAGCGCTGTCGACGATGAGAAGGGCGAACCGAGTCTCGCACATCATTGCCGCAGCTTGATTTAGGAGTTGCAGCTGGTGGTCCGAGTTGTATGCGCGGGCGTATGCAACGTTGTCCAAAACTTCTTCGCCGGATAGTCCAAACCTATTTGCGACGGACAGAAGTCTCGTTGGCCGAAATGTGCTCTCTGTATCAATGTACAGGCATTTGCCCTCTCCGCCCCCCATGTCGAAAGGGAGCTGACAGGTCACCGCCAGAGTATGACAGATTTGACTCTTGCCCGTTCGAAATTCTCCAAATAGTTCAGTCACCGATCCGGTCTCGATACCACCGGCTAGGAGAGTGTCCAAATTTTTAGATCCGGTTGTGATAGAAATTAGCTCGCTCCGCCTCTGATGCATCTCTGTAGCGGTGGTAAAGCCCATGGGGACTAATTTCGAGGCTGGATGGACCCAAATCAGCAAGGAGCTCTCAACGAATACCGCGTCAAAGGGGCAACCTACCCTCTAGAAGAATCTTGGTAGCCTTTTGCTCTGAAATACCCTTGATCTGCTCAAGCATTCTGCGAGGGGTATATGCAACAGACTCAACAGTGTTGTAACCACCGTCAACTATGAGTTGAATGTCACGCTTTGTTAAGCCAGAAACGCCCTATAGCATGCGAAAATCAGATATAGGTCATCATGAATCGGCTGGTGACTGCGTACCTCCAGAGCAGTCAGCGGTGTCGGCGCGCCAGGCGCAACCATGGTGTCATCGTCGCCCATTTGGGCCTCATCATACTCTTCGCTCATAATTGTACAAATGATTTGGATTTACAGGGGAAAATTGAACAGTATTTGAGTGTGGTGGCGAGGATGGAGATGGAGAAGAATGAGTTGGGTGAGTGTCTTGATCTGTTGACGAGGAAGGCGCGGCGGGACGCGTTAAGAGACGAGCCGCATCAGATTTCTAAGCTTGAGGATACGCCAACCCACGTGATCAATTTAGCGTCCATCAATGCCAGGCAGCGACGCTTCTAGATGTGTGGAATGTGGGTCCAAAATCGGACCATAGTTTTTGCTCCGCCGCTCCGTTTTGGGAGGTGGGGGTTTGTTGACTTTGGCCTAGCTCCATAATAGCTATGAGCTAAGCTGACCCCTCCATTGTTGGCCTATTCCTCTGCTCAGAGTGGTGGTATTAATCGTCCTCTGACCTTCCGACTTTCCCATCCCCATCGCTTTTCCTCTCCCGCCTTTTGAACATTGCCTGTGAAAGAGCTACTAGCCATGGCTGATGAAAAGTTCCTCGCCGCCTCGGCCAAGCACCCCATCGTCGCTGGCCACGCTTACAAGTATGGCACTGCTGGCTTCCGCATGAAGGCCGACCTACTCGACGGCGTATCCTTCCGTGTCGGTCTGCTTTCCGGCCTTCGAAGCCGTCGCCTCAATGGCCAGGCCATTGGTGTTATGATCACCGCCAGTCATAATCCTGCTCCCGATAATGGTGTCAAGATTGTCGATCCCATGGGCGAAATGCTTGAGCAAGAATGGGAGGCCCATGCCACCCGCTTGGTCAATGCCCCCTCCGACCAGGAGCTCCTCGACACATACAAGGCTCTCGCTTCCCAGTTGAACATTAACTTGTCCGATCCCGCCAAGGTCATTGTCGGCCGCGACACCAGACCCTCCGGCCATTCGCTTGTTACTGCCCTCGCCGATGCCTGCGCGGCCACTAACATCCAATTCACCGACTACAAGATCCTCACCACCCCTCAGCTCCACTACCTCACTCGTTGCATCAACACTGAGGGCACTCCTAAGGCCTACGGAAAGATCAGTGAGCAGGGATACTATGAGAAGCTGTCCGAGGCTTTCGTCCGCGCTCTTCGCGGTAAGAAGGTCCAGGGCCAACTCATTGTCGACGGTGCCAATGGTGTTGGTGCTCCCAAGCTCAACGAGCTGCTCAAGATCATCCCTAAGGATGTCACTGGATTCGATTGCAAGGTTGTCAATGACGACGTCCTTCGACCGGAAATTCTCAATCTCGACGTATGTTCCTCCCCTCCTCTTGCCGTCATCTCCATCCCATCCGTGTCCGCTAATCAACACAATGCATAGGCTGGTGCCGATTTCGTCAAGACAAAGCAAAGGGCACCCCCCAAGCCCCAACCTATTCCCGGTGCTCGAGGCTGCTCCCTAGACGGCGACGCCGACCGTCTGATCTACTACTGGGTCGATCCCGAGAGCGGTTTCTTCATGCTGGACGGTGACCGAATCTCCTCACTCAACGCCTCTTTCATCGGTGACCTGGTCCGCTCTGCTGGTCTCGAGGATGAGGTCCGTATCGGTGTTGTCCAGACCGCTTATGCCAACGGTGCTAGCACAGCCTACATTGAGAAGCACCTGCAGCTCCCCGTGGTCTTCACCCCCACTGGTGTCAAGCACCTGCACCATGCTGCTTGCCAGTTTGATGTTGGTGTTTACTTCGAGGCGAACGGCCATGGAACCGTTGTCTTCTCTCAGGAGGCCATCCGCCTCTTCCGCGAGAAGGAGCCTCAGTCCCCTGCTCAGAAGGAAGCTCTTGAGGTCCTGGCTGCTTGCGCCGATCTTATCAACCAGACCGTCGGTGATGCCATTTCCGACATGCTCATGGTCGAGGTTATTCTTGCCCACAAGGGCTGGACCCTCAAGAACTGGGCTACTACCTACACCGACCTGCCCAACCGTCTGGTGCGCGTCGAGGTTGGCAACAAGGACCTCTTCCAGACTACCGATGCCGAGCGCCGCCTGAGCCATCCTCCTGGTGCCCAGGATGAGATTGACCAGTGTGTTAGGAAGTACACCAATGCTCGCTCCTTCGCCCGTGCCAGTGGTACCGAGAACGCATGCCGGGTGTATGCTGAGGCAGCCACTCGAGGGGAGGCAGATGAGCTTGCCAACAAGGTGGCTGCCTGCGTCCAAAAGTACGGTTCTTGAAAACTTGGCCCTCAAAAGAATGATTGTTTTTAGTCCTTGCTTTATACTAGAAAATCACCTTATTTAGCCACCCTCCCCAGAAGAAAAAAAGGGTTGAGATGGTAGGTCGGGAATAAGTACGAGACAGATATATCACCTTTCCTTTTTACAAGGCACCTCGCCCTGGTGAGATGAGCTATTGTTATGACGCATGAGAGCACGACGTTTTGGAATTTACTAAAGAAAAACTACTGGAGGAAAACCACAGTCTAGAACACACTGACGAATTGAGTTTTTCATGGACTACAAAAGCTAATTTATTGAAGCTATTTATTAAGGAGACCAACCCATACTATGCCCACCGCGGCACTGTGAAGTAATGATTGACATTGACTTTCTTGCCAGATCATAATCGATTTAACGAATGGAATAGGAATGAACTTTTTTTTGGAGGCGTTTTTATGGTTTCCCGGATGCTGAAGAAGGTGTGAAGGAAAGTATCGTCTTATCATGATTTCATAAAGGTGAATGGGACTTGCAATCCCCAGCCCGCCTGGGCGGTAATGGGTGCAGGAGCTTTAGTTGACTGCAATGCGGCGAGACTCGTACTTCTTGGCCTTGGGGACGGTCACGTTGAGGATGCCATCCTTGAGGCTGGCGGTGACGCCGTCTTGCTCGACGCGGGTCGGGAAGCTGAAGGTGCGGGCGAACTCGCCGATGCTGCGCTCCGTGAGCCAGTACTTGGCGTTGTCGGCGGCGGCTGCGGGCTTCTCAGGTGCTGGCTCGCCGGTTGGGGACTCGGTCTCCTTGGCCTCGGACTCGTCCTCGACGGTGACCTTGTGGGCACTGTCGTGCTTCTCCTCTCCGCCCTCGGTGATGGCCGAGGTGCCCCCCAGGAGTCCGGCGGGCGGGGTGCCTGCGGTGTAGGTGCGCTCGACCTTCCCGCGGACCTGCATGGTCTGGGGGTCGGAGAACTCGATGTGGACGTCGTCCTTGCTCAGGCCTGCGAGCTCGCCGTGGAGCTCGTAGTTGTCGGCCGTCTCGCGGATGTCGAACTTGGGCTGCCAGGTCTGGAGGCCCGGGCGGCGGGTGCTCGGGGCGCCCTGGCGGGAGTAGTTGTCGAAGTCATCGAGGAGCCTGAAGAGCGGGGTGAATGACCCGTCGGTGGTGTTGGTGTTGGGGTGGTGGCTGTGGTAGAGGTTGCGAGGGAAGAAGGCCATTTTGAAATGAGGTTTTTGGGGTTGATGGTTTTGTTTTGGGAAGAATGTTTGGTTGAAGTTGACTTCAGGATTGAGAGTGGTGTAGCTGTGTGGCTAAGACTTCTTTTTGGAATCTGAGTGTGTGGTGACGAAGAAGAGAGCTGAGGTTGCTCAGCATTCGATGTGTTACTTATAGCTGTGTCAGTTCTACGGGATCAAGTGTCACGGCTCAGGAACATGCTGGAAAATCAGACGATTCGCCCATCTACGCAATTCCACGAAGTCCCTCGTAGGCTTTAGAAATTTCCGTGGGTCATGCAACATTGACGTTTGCACCTGGTGTGACGATCGAGAATCTGTAAGAGGTCGCTGGAAGCTCGTGATACGCACTGGGGACTGGTTGTGGCGGGTGCTGGAACCTTCGAGCACCACCTACCCGGTACCATGGAGTGCTCTCGAACACCCACCCATCTCGATCCAACCATTTGAAGTGGAATTGATTGGCAGGTATCAATATCTATCCTAGTATTAATGAGTAGGAGCTACGTAATACACGACTCTGGAGAACTTTCGGGAAAGTCGACTGGACCCAGTGGTCATGTCATGTATGAAGCTATCACGAGTCAACAGTAATATCGATTTCCCTATCGTAGTAGTCACTAAAAGATATCGAGAGAAGAGGAAACAAAATAGATGCCCTTTAAATTAGCTATACTATAATTGGATATTCAACTTGCTTCATCACGATGGATACATAGTGTAGTTTCCTCAGGCAATTGGTAAAGAGAGATCATTCCAGTTGAAGCTAAGGTTTCGCTTTGATGACGCTCGAGAGCCCTGTTAATTACAGAAGAAATTCTGTTATTTACGTAATCGCTAATGAGGTAAAGTTCCTATTCCTGGGGTGGCCCTCCCCTGCTCGCCAGTATCCCTGCCATCCCCGACCTTGCCTGACACTTTGCTTACCCGGCAACGGAAGCATTCTTCGCATCCGTCTTGATGATATGTTCAGCAGCCGCCACGGGGTCGACAACAGTGCTTGCAAACTTCCTAGCCGAAACTCCCTGCTCAAACAAGACGTCGAGTTCACCGTAAGTACGACCCTTGGGTTCTGGCAGGCGGAAGTAGGCCCAGGTGATACACAGCACACCGCATCCAGCCCAGAAGAAGGCACCCTTGGCACCCCAGTTCCAGGCCGTCGAGTTAAGCATGCGAGGGGCGATGATGCTGACAATGATATTTCCAACGTTGTATGTGGAGCGGGCCAGGACGATTGTTTTGGCTCGCAGACGCGTGGACGCTATCTCTGAGACCAGGGAGTAGCATACAGGGCCGACGGTCATATCGTAGACCATTGTGAGAATCAAGAGCATGCTGCCAATGGCCCAGGATGCTGCCTCGTGCGTCTTGCTGTCGATAGCGGCACCCACGCTACCAATGACAATGAGGAGAGCGAACATGGCTGCAATTCCTGAAATGTACAATGTGCGCCGTCCAATGTGGATCATGAGAACCCATGAAAGCATGGTTCCGATTGCTCCAAGTCCGTACTGGACCAGGGTGAAGGTGAAGGAATGCTCAGTTGACATGCCCGCCTGCTGGTAAAAGTACGTTGAATACGACATGAAAGCAACACCGGAGAAGATTTGTGCAAACCAGGTTAGGCATGAAATTTCAGTACGTCGCAAGTTGATGCCCTTGAAGCAGTCCAAGTACGACGTGCCCGCAACCAGTGCCTTCTCCATCGAGTTGGTCTGCTCCATCATGGAGATGGTGGCGTCCAGGTCGACGTCAATATTGGGGTCATCTCGGTGCTTGGATGTCAAACGACGAAGAGCCTGCCTGGCTTCGTCTCGGCGACCAGTGCGCACAAGCCACCATGGGGACTCTGGGGCGAAATAGACACCAACCATGATGGGAACAGGCCATATCCACTGGAGAGCAAAGGGGAGCCTGTAACTCCACTGGGTAGTAATGTTGGTTGTGCCCCGCAGAGCGCCGGAGGCTATGAATTGGCCTATAACCCAGCAGAGGTTGACGTATGTGGTCAGATAGGCTCTGAGTGCCGTGGGACAGACCTCAGAAGCGTAGGCGACGGTGATGGTCTGGAACACACCCCATGGCAGACCGAGAAGGATCTGACCAGCCAGGAGGTGCTGGAGACTCTGAGCGAAGAAGACAATGAAGATGAAGGCGATGACGAGGAACATAGCAGTGATGATAGTCTTGCGGTAGCCGAATCTCTCAGCGACAATACCATTGATGGTAAGACCAACGATTTCACCAGCCGTGGATGCGATTGATAGGGCAGTTTGCCAGCTCGCAGTCAGCTCGTAGGAGCCGTCTGGCTGCAAGTCTCCGTACTTTGCCTTGAAGGCATCGTTGGCGAAAAGGTTGGTAATGAGGACCTTGTCGAAACCCTCCATGACAATGGCAGTCGAGATGAGAACGGACCAGGCCACAGCGTGAGGATATGTCTTGAGGCCTTGCATCAATGTCATGCTCTGCTCCGCCGAAGTGGCTCGAGCAGCCTCGGCGGCCTCGTAAGAAAACTCATCTTTGGGGGCTGAGACATCCTCAATTGGCTGTTTCTTCTCTTGCGATGTCCTTTCTTCGTGGGGAGAGCTGGGAGCAATGTCTCCCGCGGGAGCTTCCTCAGCAGCCATGATCGGTCCGTGTTGATTTGTGCTTGTGCGAAGACGCAGGTAGATGGTACTACGTTAGCAACACAGTGAGAATGAAGGGCGGGTAGGAGCAGGATGTGAAAAGGTGGTGGAGGGTGGCATATTTATCACATCGCATGGCATGGCATTGCACCTCGTGAGCCTCTGCAGTGCATCCTCTCCATGCCGTCCTACCCTCGCCCGCCCATCCATGCATCCCTATGTATGCGCATCTGGATGTTGTTACCCAACTGGATGGGGGCTCCCTCGACTGAACTGCCTGCGATTGGTGCTTCGAAACACAACTCCTCCACAGGCAATTGATCGTCGTCCCCAGACCCCGTTGCGAATGGCGCCACTGGCGCACACACCGACCGGCGGTTACTGCAATGCACGACGCAGTCCCCAGCGGGTGGCACCTGGAGCAAATTCTGCACCTGGTCCCGTTTCCCCTCAAGTGAGGCCGGCCGCGACGTTACGGACTGCCTTTCTGGTACGATTCCAGCCATTGCCACTGCGGGCTCATCGCTCACCGGACCTTGACCAACTGGAAGGATCCGCGAGTCGAGCAGAAGCCGACCAAAGGTTTGTACAGAGGCAATTGGCCTCGTCATCCATGTTGGTTGAGGGGATTGGGTAGAGCCTCGTAGGCGAGAAGGATCAACTAAAGGCCTTGCCCACCTCAAATTCTGCCGTCCACGTGTCGTGCTACCCCTGTTTTGTCAATCATTGCATTGCCAGAGAATGGATTCAGGATTCACGCGAAGGCACGGCTGCAAATTAATTGCAGGAGCACACGAGAATGGGGAATGTCGAGTGTTGCGTCCTCCAAAGAATTAGCTTCCCCAGATTATCAGGTTAAAATCTTAGGCAATCTGTTAATACTGAAAGCGTGCTATTTAATTATAGAGTATAGATAAGTAGAGATAAAAGATTTATTAAAAACTACTGTATTTCTTTAATTTTAACCTAGAAAACTTATATTCTTTTATAAATAGATTTTCTTTAATTTAAAAGATATATATATAATTATTTTAATACTTTAGATTATATTCTCTTTAAATTTAAAGCTTTTTTTACTTTTTTTTTATAACTATAAAAAGATATTATATTATAAAAGCTTTAAAAGAACCTTAAATAATATTCAAGTAAGCTTTATATACTTTTAATACTATTAAATATATATAAATTAATTAAGATTTTAATATCCTTCCTAAAGATAAAAGATTTATATACTTAGTAATATCTTAAGTAAAGGTTTAATTATAAGCTTATATAGATTAACTTTAAGATTATTTAAAACCTTAATAGCTTATTAATATAACTAATTAATTAGAGTTTAATAATTATAATAAAAAAGGCGAACACTAGTTTCAGTTAACCCTATAGCTAGAATATCCATTGAACTTCTAACCTTTTTCCTTGTCCTTAGTAGGCGTTATACGCTAACAAGGTATTTAATGTAATGTGATATATTGGGTGTTCTCTTTTGTTAGAGCCTGCCCCTTCCTAGGTGCAGACTCCCTTAAAGAAACCCTTCTTAGTGCGTGTGATGGAGATGTCCCATCTAGTCTCGATTTCCTCCTCTCTCTACTTAAACTTGACCTAGCGAGTAGGGGTCTTCAGTTAGTAAAAGATGTGTCTTGGGGGCTTACGGTGACTGCATTTGCACTTCAGGTTTGCGTCAGTATGCCTTAAGCGCTCGTGGTATCTCGCGAAGTCCCCGTGTTCTGATCTGGCCGCTACATCAGAACCCAGAGAACTAGGGGAAGGCGTAACTAGGATTTCCCAAACGCCACAGATGCGGAGATGTCACTTATTGGAAATTTAACTCACGTTGACTAGCAAAAATTCGGCGTATTCTAGATCGTTACATAAAGTTTGGCTATTGAAGTATGACTGCTTCAGCTGGTAAAAGGCGCAATCACAATTCTCGTGGCTGTCTAAAGTCACCAACTAATATAGGACTCGCAATCACATGTCTTAGCCAGGGTCAACACAAGAGCAGCTTATATACCCTTTTAAAAGCTGCCGGCACAGTCTGTGAATAGTCTACATTATTACTCTTTCTAATTTACTTTTTTTTCAGTGGACTGTTGTTGCCATGATCGCCTCCTATTCAGATATCTGCCTTGCAAGCCAAAAGCACACAGTACATGTGTTGCTAATAGTTATTCTCTTGATTGATTGGGCTGTCGCCAGCAACCCAAAAGAAAACTTTTGTCGGAGGTATGCCCATCAAACGACCGTTATTGATGACAAATTGTACATCGATGGCGGCTGGGTTAATTTCGATAATTTCCCACAAAAGCAACAAGACTATCCAAGTAAGTCGCCACCTCGATGAGGTTATGCGAAGGCTGAATAGGTATAATAATATTGACAACAATTTGCGAGACACCTGGCTGTCTTATCATGATCTCAATCATACTTATGAGGGGTTTCCTGATCTCAACATAAGTTTAAGTAAGAATGATAGGTTAGTCTTCCTAGCTTTTAGTTTAGATCCTGCTACTGCTTGGAATTAATAAACAACATATACTGATTTCTCCTTAAAGTATTCCCACTGTACATGGTGGAGTTCTTTGGGGTGATTCAGTGAATAAAAGGTTTTATCTCTATGGCGGTGAGTGGACTGGAGGATCTGCAGATGCTGTGTATACCGTTTTGGGGTACGATATTCTCTACAACTATTGGGATGACTTTGGACTGCCGAGTTTGAAACCTCCACCACAAATCGCATCCTACGGTGCCGGAGTTGGCGTCTCGGAGACTGGAAATGGGTACTACTACGGAGGATATATCAGCAATGCCTCTATGAGCGGGTGGACTCAACCACGAAAGATGAGCTCAAACTTCTATTCCTATTCCTACGACTCAAAAAGCTTCACTCAAGCAGCTGATCCAGATGACCTGCCTAGAGCAGAAGGCGCTATGGTATGGATTCCAGCTGGAGATGCGCTAGGGCTCCTTGTTTATATGGGTGGTGTTGTCAGTCAGAATAATACAGTGCTACCTCAGGGATTCGACGAGATCTTTGTGTATGACGCAACGGATAATTCATGGTTGAACCAGTCAGCAACAGGAGAGATACCACAGAATCGACGCCAGTTCTGTATCGATGTGGCCTGGGCACCAGATAAGTCAAGTTACAACATGTAGCGCTTCACCTTCTTGAATCGCTTCTGAGCATCAACTAATGCATTGGAACTATAGCTACTTGTGGGGAGGACACAAGGTTACACCCCCAGAAGTAAACGTTACTTCATACAACGATATCTACATACTGTCTCTGCCGTCTTTCAACTGGGTCAAAGCCTTCCCTGGTAATTCTGGAAACTATACTCTGCCCCGGAATTTGGACACTATGCCGCCTCGTGCAACATGGTCAAGTCGATGTCTCAAATGCTCGTCATTGGAGGAACCTATACAGACACCAACGACTGTGACTTGGCGTATAAAATCTGGGCCCAGCATAACTTTTGGACAGGCACAAGCCAGAATGCAGGAGATAATACAACATACTACTGGGCGCTATACAACCCAAACATCACTACTAACGTCGTCCCCATTGATGTATATAACGCCATAGGCGGGGATAAGATGGGAGGGGCAAATCTTACGGCGCCCCAAAAGGGCTTTGACCCTGGGAATGAGCTGCTACAAACTCTATTTGATCGAAAGCCGGTAATTCCTGATCGCAAGCCAACTCGCGATATCAACATACATTCCCCGGGCGCTTCAGGGCTTTCAGGCGGTGCTATTGCTGGCATCGTGATTGGTTCCATTGCAGGCCTGGCGCTTCTATTGTTGGCATGGTACTGCGTCGGAAAAAGGGTCCTCCATCGTCGTGAGGAGAGGCGCCAAGAAAGGTACTCAATATCATCACACATGGGGAACACGGCGGGATTGTCAAGTATAGGAAACCCGCCCATGTCTATGATCTCTCGACAACAGTCATTCGGGACCTGGGGAACAGCGTCCACAAACTATCAAAGTCCGCCTCCGGCGGAGCAAGGGCCATGTGTGGAACTCACCGCAGAGCAGGTTCCTGGCGAGCTACCTTCTAGTGATCCAGCAAAGCCCGAAATTATTAACGAGCTACCCGCCGAGAGCATTAGGCAGTGAACTACACGGCTATCAGTTGCCTCCGTTGAGATGGTTTTCCTCGAGATACGTGGCCCCATTTATCAACAATAAATTGAGGTATTAGTAACCCTACCATCGTCAGTACTTTACACCCGCCGGGGGGGTTTATTTGATTCCACATTGCAAAAGTCGGGGACAATATGATTAATTGGTGGGAGTATAATCGAACCTGGATGTTTTTATTTATTGGAGTTACCATGTAATTATATGTTTAGTGACAGATCTAGGTATATTCCGAAAGGTGTTCATGGTTTTCTCTGCTTCTTCAATTTTAATTTTAACAGCACCAGACTATCCTAGGATATCAGATTTAGGAAGGGCTGTGATCGCGACAAGAAAATGCCCCCAGTCGCTGAACCCAAATTTGAAGGGCAGACGGCCTTCTCTTGAAGAGGCGTGAGAGGAATGGCTTTGTCAGTGTGCTTATAAAGGACTCATATATACAGAACTAGGATAGGACGAAACAAAGAGAATTTCAGCATGAACAATATAAGGAGGTGTGTGTTGAATTTGACCGTAGAGGCGCAATCATTGCTTCCCATGAAGCCTTGTACGCCGTCCAGTCTCCTCTTGAGGTTTTGGAGAACAATCCCTTAATCTTGATAGATATGGATTTTTGGGAGAGATTTTCATCTAGGGCTAGCGAAGAGGCAAATGTCCGTCAACAAGCATCCGATATCTTCACCCTTGGCAGTAAGCCACCACCCTGAAGATTGATGTTCGGTGTATGTCGGGGAGCAGATGACTTCCGCAAGGCTGCCCCCCTTATCATATATCGAATTTAAGTCACAAGATTGATTTAAAAAGTAGCTAAACGATTATTGTCGATGGATGCTAGATGAATCGCGGCTTTGCTGCGCCTTCCCTGGGTCAAGAGTCCCGCAGCTAAAGAAGCAGTTCGATATCCTTTAACTTCACGAAGACCTCTCTTTTTAGACTGTAGAAGTAATTGGCGTGGTATAAGATGGCCTTGCACCATCGGTGTATTTATAGATACTCTAGATTCTCATGAGGCCACCCCAGAGGCTGGAGGTGCGGCCCAGGACATACTTGGGTCATGTTGAGATAAAGTTATTCATGTGAGCCCACGCAAAGCAAGATTGCGACCGGCAAATTATAAGTCCATTGATAGATAAAGTAAATTTGCTGGACATATATTGCTTAAACGTATCTTTATCATATCCTTCCTTCTGATGCTTCTCCATGATTGGGAAACCACAACTCTTCCTAGGATATGAGGAGAAAGGCCCAAGATTAATGGTCTCCAGCTCAGATTTAAGGCTATAGTGCAGCCCAAAACCCCTAGATGAGAATCCCTGACCATCTGCAAGGTATTTTCTGAATGTCTACCCTGAAAAAGGCAAGTATACGGGAGCATTTTAAACGCGTGAATCGATGGCAAGCCATCTGTGAAAGGAGGGAAAGATAATATCATAGGCTGGAGTTCTGTAGGCGGTCGCTGGAAGTGATAAGAGCCAGATAGTGTTTCTCATCACCTCATCTTCAAGCCTGTAGGTGGTCACCTAAGATGATGAGTTTTCTAGCAGAGTAATACGCGCACAGTTCTAGATGCCAATTCTGAGACTGAAACATAAGGTAGCTACCACAGCACAGATTAGGCGAGCTCTTAGGAACAGCGTCATCGTTACTTAGTTACTGTCTGGTCATTTTGATTAGGCGATAGGGATACTGCCCGGCAACGGCAACAGGACATGAGGATTCTCCTCAATCTTTGCTCGAATGACTTTAGACGACCTCTTATTGTTAGCCCAAGAATACATAGAGCTGGCTTAACATTATTTCTCCGAGATAGACTCCCTTTTCATCTGGAAGATGGGATAAATACGCAACATATTGCGTCAATAAGTTCTACTCTCATCGTAGATGTTGGCTCCCGACGTCGGAAACTTGGCACTTGAAGCGCGAAGCGTTCCGGATATCAACCACCTAAGGCAAATTAAAGGTCAGCATCGTATAAATCTGAGGCATTCTTGCCATATTACAAGATGTATGGTTTTGTAAATAGCAAGCCCGGTCTCACCTTCATAGAGACCACGCTCAAGAATACCAACCCTCTTACATATTCTGGCGTGTGTGTGTACGCCATATCTGGAAATTGAAAAAAAAATCTATGATTGAATGCAGCCAATTATCACTCCATTTGGTTGGGAAATATCAAATTGTAGATCTACAAGCATCTGACACAATCACAATCCAATCCGCCGATCTCCCGAGTCATGAGAGCTTCGAGCGTGTCGGCCGATAAGCCGATAAGAGATCGGACTTGACCTCCGATGACGGTCTTCTCTTTGCGATATGTCCATCATCTAGGGCTATAAAGACATAGGTATCGAGCGATTGCTTCCTGATTGATACCGCTTTGTTTCCAGCTTTCGTAATCATATTGTTCCGTTTGACAATCTCGGAATTCGTCGCCCGCAGCTCGTTTCCCCTCACAACAACCCCCGTCAATATCAACTCCCCTTAGAACACCGAGGAGAACAGTTCGAGGAAGATGGCACCAAGAATCAAACTAGGTATCTTAACCCCCTCATCAAACACCAGCCTTGAGCCGCTCAGCCAGGCCATTATCGCCTCCCTGCCCCATGTCAGCGTGCACTTCTCCCGGTTCACTGTCCTCAAGATCGGCCTTGCCAGCGATGCGCTGAACCAATTCCAAACCGAGAAGATCCTCGCTGCAGCACAGCTCCTCGCCGATGCCGAGGTGGACATGATTGGCTGGAGCGGCACCTCGTCTGGCTGGCTGGGCTTCGACACCGATAAGAAGCTGTGTGAGGAAATCACGGCTGCGACAGGGATCCCGGCCACAACATCAGTGCTGGCGTTGAATAAGGCAATGGAGCTGTTTGGCTTGAAGGAGCTTGGCCTTGTGACTCCTTATACGGATGACGTGCAGGAACAGATTATTAGAACGTACAAGACTATCAATATCGACTGCAGCAAGGAGCGACACGTAGGGCTCTCCAAGAATGCATCGTTCGCAGATCTCGACGAGCCAACCCTTGATGAGATGGTGGCGGACGTGGCTTCAAAGAAGGTACAGGCTGTTACCACTTTCTGCACAAATTTGAGAGCGGCACAGCGGGTGGCCTACTGGGAGAAGGAGCACGGTATTCCTGTGTTCGATACAGTCGTGACAGTGATATGGGATATGCTGCGTCAGCTCAAGGTGGACATGAAGCCACTGGAACAATCCTGGGGTATGTTGTGTACTAAATCATAAAGCTGAGAAAGATCCACGCATGCACAAAAGATCAATACAAGCCTCTTGGCTTAAGAAAAGTCATGCCATCGTGGTCAAGTGTCTCCATCGCCTCCACGTCTCCCGCCTCGGTAAATTACTTTAAAGCCCATTGGCTGTAAATCACTTCTTTTTCTATTATTCTCCATCCATAGATAAAGGTCATCCCGTTCCGGACTTTTCAATATGGGGGTAGCCAAAGCACCTCGAGAGTGTTGCCAATGAGGGTGAATAACAAATAACGAGTCGACGATTTTTGCTCCGCATGCTCCTCCCCTTCGGCTGCATATTAGTGTTGACAAGAGTCGCTGGTTTCATGTGTACATACAGGCTCATCGATTTCCCAAATCATCAGCATTTGCCTCACGTGTCAATACTTTGAGCATCAATTGGGAGTTAGTGGTGAAGCCGTTTCCCGTCAAACTCAAGGGCATATACAGAAGAGAGACCTCTCTGGTTCGGGTTTCAACTACCAGAAATTCCATTAGAGCGGAGATGGGCAATTTCAAGCCCGGAAGACAATGGAAGTCTGGGGGAATGCACGCGCCTCTTCGGCCCTCTTCCCAGCCTTAATGTTCATGTCACGCCACATCTAGATTTTTGCACCCAGCAAGCATGGCATGCCACAGCAAGCAATGTACTCCTTTCCACCAGCTGAACTCCGTCCTTGCGTAAGCTCGTATATGCCGTGGAACGATGCAAATAGATATTGGGGATGACAACCCCGTGAATGAGCCCAGAGCAAAAAAATCCAACTGTTAGATCTTCCTCGAGGTCGGTTTGCGTCACCTCATTTAAAAATTGCCACGTCAGCCTCACCCAGAGTTTTCTGGACTACCTTGATGTGTACATATATAGCCGCATCATCAGTAAGGCCCTCCGGTAAACCTTTTACTTTTCCTTTTCTTAACTCGCACATATTAGGGCAGTGAAGAAAGGTGACGAGTCTAGCAGCTTTTCTGCTACGGAAAGGGAATGAGTTTGGGAGTTGAGAACCCTTCTAGCTGTCCCAATAATTTCTTTGTCGATATGAAAAGTCATTGATTGAAGTACCCCTGAAATGTGGATGTGAGTTCATTTTTTCCTTCGGTAGTCACATATGTGAAGATGTGTCCAGATCTGAACGCAGCAATGAGCTTGTAACTGAATAATATAATTCATACCTGATGAAAGTGCATATCGGGTCATCAATTACAATACAACCTAACCGGGAGGTGCGTCCAGGTAGCATCAAGATATCCGCATGAGCCGATGTTCTTCATGGTGCAATCCCAGCTGTGATTATGACAAGGATTTTGGAGTTAGCAGACCATTTCTACTGTTAGAAAAGCTGTAACTCCAGCCTTCATCATAGCTACTCGGCTACTTATCCCTGGTTCCCAAACTCTCATCGTGCGATTCTCGGTGTGCTTTCTGAAGACCACTAAAGGGCGGAGTTCTCGTAGTATACGCGAGACAAGCTCTGTGGTGATTGATTCCAGGAGAGAGTGCCAATCGATCATACTCATCCAAGCATGCTTAAGCTTCCACCACCCATTGGCGACTTTGAGAGAGGATGTGACGAACGCAGTTGAATCCAAGCCTAACAGTGTTGGGTATGGCAGGTCCGTACTTCCAAGCCCCAGGGCTATGCCAGTTGTCGATATGAAGTTAGCAGCATAACCCACGCATCACTCCATACCACCTCACATCTTCCATTGTTTGCTGCATTGACTCA